ACGGCACAATTTAGCCGGCGCGGCGAAAACGCGCGCGCGCGTTTCGGAGAAAATTGCGGAAAATGGACGTGCGGGCGTGTGTTTGAGAATAATAGGGTAAAACCGGATAGACGAGTCAAATGGAGCGTGTGTCCCGTCCTCGGGGCTCGCGCCGTCGATGAATCGCCACCACCCGAAAGAAGAGTAGTACGTTAACACAAACACGCGGCGACGTCTCGCCCCGGGATTCATCGAGGGCGTCACTGAGCCATCAGCTCGGTCTTACGTTATTATCGGGTCCCGCGCGCTACCCCGATTACGCGCGGAAAGTAGACGCGGCGGCTCGCCTCGTTGCCGCACGCTTTAGCCCGCGTAGTAATTTTATTCGGGCAAACTTTGCCTCTCGGGCGCGTGGAAAATTGTGGAAGAAGTGCACGTAGAAGCGCGCCGTCGTTCTATAAACGCGGCGTAATTTCAAGGCGTGGGTCGCGCGTCGATAATTTCTCGCGAAACGAGGACAGGATACACAGTTCCGCTCTACCCTCGTGCCCACCCACCCCCTTCCTCACGTTCCTCTGTCTTCCTCCGCGAGTCCGTCGCGCTTCCGCCGCTTTCTTTCCCTTTTTGCGCCTCGATTTGTCAGGGGTATTAATCGCAAACGCGATAACGTCGTTGCTCGTGCTTCGTGCATGACAAACGACACCGATATGGCGTGCCTGCACGAGCCGTCGCGCCGTTAGAACGGGAAGAATGTATTTATTCTATGTGTTTCACGAGCTTTCTACAAATTAACTTTCTGTGGAAACGGATAAACCGGAAGAGGGGCAGGAGGGAGTGGCAAAGGCGGAGACGGAGGCGTGCAAAGTGCATCAAAAGTTTTGCGTTCCGCCACGCGTTATCCAATTATCTCGGAATCACGTACGCCTCGTAACGCCCTCAATTATCCGATCCCCGCGTCGGATAAAAATCTCCGTAGACGGGAAATTTCTGCGAACACGCGTCGCGTGGCGACGATAACGAGGCTGCGAGAGAAAATATTTATTTACCGAACGTCCCGCCTCATTATCAAGTCAGCGCCTCGTTCCACCCCCCCCGATACACCGAATGTGTTTAAATATAGATATGGCCCCGAGGCGAAATGTGCCACTGACGATGTTCGGTTTTACGCTGCGAAAACATATCTCTTCCCGCGAATTAGAAAATCTTGCACGTGCGTGCGCGCGCGCACACACACACACACATACACATACTCTCGCACTTGAACGCACTGCGATTATTTTTAGTCTCGCGATATATATTTCCATCCGTCGCGACGCCGGTTGTCAATAATGTTTTCGTTTCACGACGTTCAGACAGCGTTCGTCGCGCGGAGAGAAAAAGAGAGAGAGAAAATGAAGGAGAGACGTTCGGAGAGAAAAGTTTCTATCGATACGCCGTTATCAATCCGCATGTCCGCGAATACGCGAGAGCCGCACGGGGGAGTCTCTCGTCGCGGATTACTCCGATAAAGATAAACTCTCCACGTACGGTCGGTCGATGAACCACACGAGGGAATCGCGCGGGGGAGGGAGAGGAAAAAATTCAGAATCACCGTCGCGAGAGGAGATCCGTTGCGGGAATAAAAGAGGGCGAAGGGAGTCTCCCGCCGGCGGATAGTACGCGACAGTATGCACTCCGATGCACTTGCAGCTGCGTGTGACGCTTACACTCGCATATTTTATAAAACTTTTTTCTCCCCTCGTACCTGCGCGCCGCACAACCGAAACCCCCCCCCTTCACACTCGCATACGCGCACACATGTTTAAGAACCCTTGCGAGCTCCGCGTGTTATATCTCGTGCGAACGAAAATACCTATAGCCCAGACAAGCGCGAGGAAAAGGGGGATGTAGCTGCGACAAGGGATGGCAACCTAGGTACCAGGATATTTTCCCTCCCTCTAACTTTCTCGAGTACCGGGAATTTGAATCACGCACACGGCCTATACCTCCTGCGCGACGGAATTGCCGCCGGGAAAGCCGGGAAAATCGTTTAAGAGTAAATGACGTTTTATTAATGGTCCTCTCGGGGTCTCCCCCGCGTAATGTCGCGCAGTCAGTTCTCTCTCTCTCTCTC